TGTATTGAATACAATATTTCCAGGTATACATACAATATTTCCAGGTATAATACGTACGAAATAACGTCCTAGGGCATTATGGAGATGTAGATTATTTGAGTGTTTGGGCTAGCATTTTTGATAACCGTAAATAGGCCCCTTTTTTACCTATAAATTTAACAGGAAAAATGTACCTAGAGTGGTTAGAAGTTGCGATTCATCCAGAATTGGTGGAGATACTAGATAATGATAACAGATGCATACACTAATATTCCAACAAGATTGTGCGTCATCCCATTATGCTGCAGTGGCTCGTCAATATTGAGTGGCCCCTGCGTTCTCCAGATTTAAGCCCGTTAGATTTTTCTTCTGAGGTCATTTTCAGCATTTACTTGATTGATTTTGTTTTTAAAGCATTTTTTTAAATAAAAATATTCCAACATGTTTTTGTAACTTTAATTAGCCCCTGTAATGGCTAGGTAGATAGTAGCTATATGAGACTTGGGGGTTATAATCTACATAAAAATAGCTTCAAAATAAGGTATCACTCGACCCCTCATTCCGTTTAAAATTTTGGGGGCTCTTGTCACCCCCGCTAGGGCTTTGCCCCCCAGGGGGTGAAAACACCAAAAAAATGGTTCCCCCTTAAATCAAAAATTGACGGGTACGAGGGTTTTTTCTTAAATGTCTTGGGGAGCCCGAAATCACCTCTGTTTCGTTTTCAATTGGCCACCCTGTATGTACTTTTTCATTGTCCTAATGAACAGACGGCATAATATTAATGAAGCCCAGATATAATTTAATGAAACCCTTTCATTGTATTTATGAATCACAGTCTTGAATACTAAGAATTTCATTCATTGTATTTATTAATGACGTTTTCAATAATATGTACCATATTCTTTATTTTTATTAAAATAATTTCATGAATTATGCCTTAAATATACTTATGATTTTAAATGGGGTAAAGGGTCATTTTTTATATTTGCGTGTCCCCTGTACTGATCAATATGAGCAATAAGAAAAAAGCTTTTAATGCAAAAGTTGCATGGTTCCTTCGTATCATCTTCCAGAATTGTCAAACAAACCAATGGGCGTCCCAAAATCTGAAAATTTAAAAATCTAAGTACCTAC